CAATAGTACTAAAATATGATTCTATTTTATATTCTATGACCAGTTTGAATTGTTTTGTCATCAATACTTTTGTGTGACAATACACCAATAATTTTTGTCTTAATTCGAATTTTGAAAGAGGTAAGTATGAATTTTGATTAATTTTATAGTCCATGCCGCGCGCGTACGCCGTCAGTCCAGAAGTGTCGGAGCCTATTTAATGCAAACAAACAATCAGTCGAATCATTTCTCTTTATAATATTATGTATAGATCAAAGATATTGCTCTAAAGATATTAGTTTTATTTGCCTTCCGTAAACATGACGAAAAATAAAAATATAATTTATATATTATATGTCATTGGTATTACCGTTTTCGTTTAGTCTTCTTAGTAATTTGTTACAATATGTGACGTTTATAATTGGCAAGCAATTAGATAGCTCTGCCGGCTATACATCATACGCCGTTTAACTTTTAAAACACAGAGCCGACTCGAGGGCTGTATAGATCTCATATCTATGAATTTGTAATATCCGTACAAACTGTGTTACAGATTTATTAAATAACTTAACGGTTAACTAAAGTAAAAATACTACTTATATCCGTTTTTATAAACAGCCCTGTGATTCTGTAAAAATCGAAAACCGAATTCGATTTCACTCCGATTCACTTCAAAAAGCGGCATAAGTGAAGTGAGTTTCGAAATGAGACAGGAATAGAATATTTGAGACACGTATTTTCAATCAATTTTGTTTTGGAAAATGGAATGAATAGATTTTCTACACTCAATGACAGAAAATCGGACGTATAAGTGAATTCGAAATCGGGTCTGGATTTTTAGAGTGCTGAATAATAATAATAATTATTGTTTATTTGCAAGAATATGGTGCAAATGATGTTACACAGTTAATTAACAATAGTTTCTCACATTCTGCAGTATATGAACAGTGTGCAAATAGTTTGATTTTTAAATGTCATTACATAAACACAGAGAGTAATGATCTTAACAGTATAGATGTTGTCAATAGATTATTTATTGTTCTGAATCTCATCCCCATCTATGAAATTTCCTTTTTGCAGCAAACTTAACAATATAAGTTTTAAATTTTTAACTGGTCATCTGAAATTTAATCACCAATTTTATTCATTATGATGTCTATATTTACATTATTTAGTCTTTATTTATATAAGCTTTAAATTATTTCATGCTAGTTGCTTGTTTTTCTTTTGAATGTTAACGCCTTTTGTTTGTGTTCCGATTGAAATGTCTGTGATATCGTCTCCTGGCGTTGTACTTAAATGTGGCATTTGCAGATATACACATTAGTCGTCTGATTTAGATACTAAACCCGACTAATTAGGATCTGAGCAAGATCCGGTATAGATGATGCGTCGTTCGGAATTCGAATGATCATTACTTTAAATATCTTTCCTTTATACAGATTGGCAGTCATACTTCATATAGATTGTCAAATAATCTAATAACTTTTGGCTTTGAATACCTCGAGATATTTCTTAGTCTTAGTTATAAAATATATGTAGACTTAAAATGAGATTTAAAATTTTACATAGACATGTAAGTCAGATGACAATTCAATACAATATAATTGATTCAATACAATATACAATATTCAATATTATGGTGTAAGTAAACTGATATGATGATAAAGTCGGAAAGAACTTAGTGGTGAAACGCCGACTAACTGGAGAGCGATCCGTGTTGAGATGCGCTCGTTCGGAATCCGAATGCTCATTACTTTAAGGATCTTTCCTGGATACAGATTGGCAGTCATGCTTTCCTACAGATTGTCAAAGAATCTGGTAACTGTTGGAGCTTTGAATACCTCGAGCATATGGTGGCTTGGTCTTAGTTATAAATAGCTGTAGACTTAATATGAGATTCAACAATTTTACATAGACATGTAAGTCAGATGACAATTCAATACAATCTAATTGATTCATTACAAGATACAATATGTCAGATATGTATGGACTGTAGACCAAACTGATATGTAAAAAAAATGATAAAGTCGGAAAGTTTTCTTAGTGGTGCGCACTGACACAACTGCATCGTGTTTGCGCTCGTTAGATCCGTCTTTATAAGGACTTTGGTACTGGATGCTTTCCACAACAAAGTCTGGTAATGATGGAGCTGAAAGGTGGCAATGGTGGAATGGTCTTTAAATGCGTCTTTATGAATTCAACAATATTAATAAAATTAACAGGAAAAACACTTTGTATTACAGATACTATGTCAGATATGAATGGACTGAGACCAAACTGAAATGTAAAAAAAATGATAAAAAAGTTTTCTTATTTGTGCGCACTAAAACAAGTCCATAGGTTGCCTGGAAGATATTTCTAAGTAGCAATAAGGCCGCCTTTTTGTATTGTATTTTTTCTCTTGCTGTGGAACTTGTTACTTGTCTTGTGTGTGCAATAAATAAATTATTATTATTATAAAACGTAAATAATAATTTTATGCAAAACAAGTTCACAACGTTATGTAATGTGAAATTGCTTAAAATCAAAATTTTCTTTTACAGAAATTGACTTGTACTTACAGTAATTTGAAAAATAAAAGAAAAAAAAAATAGTTGATTAAATACATAAATAAATAGGTGACTAAAAACATTATAAATGAATATCCAAAAAAAATTTCTTTGAGTCCAGTGCTTAGGGCCGTGGTAAACACAGAATAATAAAGTTTAGATATTAAAACCCTTCAACTTTTGTTAAAATCTTGTTTGTGAATTATCATGCATCGGTGAAGCCGCATGATTATCATATGGTAAAATTTAATGTATAATGTTCAGACAAACAGATAGATAGATCCATTAAGATGACAGGTGACAGTATCAGGTGCCTAAGTCGGAAATCAAACCCATTTCACAAACCCTGTGAGTGTTGCCCATGTAATAGACATTGCCCGAGACCTCTTTTGGATAACGCAGGCGAAATACCAGGTTTCTCAATCCGCGCTGGGACTCCACTCACGAGCGAAGAGCAGTCTCTTCGTGCTTGTCGCCTCTTTGTTGAGAGTGCTGCCTGGGCGTCTCATTTGGGTTCCCTGAGGGCTTTTTCTAAAATGTCCCTTTGTACCTCCCTTGCGACACCTTTATTCGCGCAGTTAGCGGGTTCTGTCGCTCCCCGTATGATATAAACACAGTCCAGTCTGTCGACGCTGGGTGGTGAATGCCACCCGAGACTTTGCATGATAAATGTATTGTTATTTTTTATCAATTTTGAATTCACTATGCTATACTAGTGAATATTCTTAACTAGCCTTCCGCCAGCGGCATCAGTCGCGTGATCTAGTTTTAAGTCCAGAAATGAGAAAATTCTATAAAAACTAATTTATCACTTGGGAGTTGAATTTCATAAAATCCCGTTTTGGTGAGCGCCTACGTCCTAAAGAAAACGCCCATGCATAATCTGAAACTCGTAGCACTTGTAGTTTCTGAGATTTCGTGAAGAGTGAGGGAGTGAGTGAGTGAACTTTCGCTTTTATATATCGAGCCTGGAAAGCAAACACGTAGTAACCCGCAAAGGTAGATGAAAATATTAACCAGCCCCAGGTACGCCGAGATGAGACTCAAAACCATGAACTTTCGCTATCCAGGTGACTGCTCCAACCACTGAGGTACTCTACCAAACAGGGGAGCAATTCCGTTAATATCTGAATCCGAATTTACTTGTGTTAATTTGCGTCAATTATTTTATTAATTCTATTGAATCCATTTCTTGTATAAAAGTACAAACAACAAACATCACTTCATTTATACCACGAAAAGTTATTACCAATTCAAGGTTGAGCGGATGCTGCTTTTGGAGTGAATATGGACACCTGAGTGAATTCGATGAATACGCATTTTTATCGAAACGCAGGGCAGGGTTGACGAATTTTTCGAGCTCTTGTTAGTTTTTGCTAATAGTGTGCGTATTTTCATCTTCGATTAAGAAATATTCGATTAAGATGAAAGTCTATTTTGATATTATTTTTCATTCACAATAATTCTATTCAACAACATTAACATGATTTCTAAGTAATATATTATTGTATTTAAATTATTTTATTACATTAAACACCCGTCTAGACAGTTTAATGTAAATAAAAACATTAAACACCACACCCACTAACGACACAGTAATTAATGGCTACGTTTGTATAAATCAAACGTTTGACAAATGTAAATCATTCTAGAATATCATATGCATGATTAAACGTTCTTGTACTGGGAATCGAACCAGTTATGTTACGGCCTTTGATGTTCCAGACAGTACTTGCAACTTTGCTATTCTATAACGATATCGGCCTGGATTTGACGTCGAGCTCAGTGCTCAGCATAGAGGTTCAGTTATGTAAATAAAACCTTTATTACGCTAATGAATAAATAAAAACTTGAGAAAAATATGATACGAACGTTGACGATAGAGTTGTCATCATTTATTTGAAGAAATAAGTACATCTGATTTCAAAGGGCTTTTAAGAAGATTTAACATTTTTTTAAATGTTTTCTTGGTACTTTTTTGGTTATGATAATCGTTGTGCATATTATATGCATTATTGGTACTAGTATCATAAATATAGTGTGAGAAAATGGTATTATAACGTCCTCTGCTGATGTTTTTTGATTATTCCTACATGATATAGAGGACAATAGATACTATATTTCAGAGGACGGTTGGCAACCCTTGTCGAGGAAGCGGGGGCTATATATCAAAAGGCCGTTGAAGAAACCCCTAAAGGCGAGTAGACAAAACATTTTGTCTCAATGGTTCGATCTGGATCAGTGTTATATTGATATCATCATCATCACCAGCCTTTTAATATCCCCATTACTGGGGCTCAGGCCTTCCCTGTGTTTGGAATCAAATTAAATTGAACTGTGAGATTGGACCCTGACCATGCCCTCACCCACCACGCGGGTCCGGTGCACATTGGTGGATGTTAACGACGGCAGATGCTGCCGGGACCAACGGGTTAACGTACCATCCGAAGCACGTGGGAAATTTTTGGTCATCCATTGATCGGCCCTTGCGAAAGTTTCTAAACAATAGTATCGCAAACCGAGCGTCCTAAAGCCTGTACTATCGAGCTCTTCACATTACACTGATGAGGACATTATTTCTGAAAAGATTTGATAATAGGGATGACGACTAATTTTCGTTTTTCTGTCCGTCAGGTGGATTATTGAAGAATATTAAATAAGTATTTTTTTTATTTTTCGCGTTGAGTTAAAATGTCGCATGACGTCACGCTATGGTACATTTTCTACAAAACTGTGACGTAGCGAGCCCGCACTCCTTTACTTTAATACCTAATAACTAAGCTATTTCTTGTTTTAATTGAAGAAAAACAAAATACGTATCTAATATTATTCTATTATCTGACTGACGGACTAAATAGAAATTCTTTTTTTTTTACCCTGTCGTCTTTCCTATATTTGATTAATTTCGCATTCATAATTCTATACTGAAAAAATATTCATAACCAACCTTGTGGATTTTTTAGACATTTTTGATAGATTGATCAAATATATAACTATAACAAATTTTCATCTTTATCGAAAGTTTAAATATACCCTCCAATCCGCATTGGGCCAGCGTGGAGGGTCATGGCCCATCCTCCTTAACCATCTGTAAGGAAGGCCTGAGCCCCTGCAGTGGGGACATAAAAGGGCTGATGATGAAATATTTCTTTCGGCTGTTTGGGTGGGTTGCCTGAACATTAATGAGAGCGTATTCTCATTAATGTTCAGGCAACTAATGTTCAGGTAATGTATTACAAGCTGGAATGCGAAATACGTTTAAAATATAATAATATAATATAAAATAAAATATAATCATTACAACAAAATTCTCATCTTTATCGAAAGTTTCAATATTTGTAACAATATTTCTTTCGGCTGTTTGGGTTGATGCCTGAACATTGATGAGAATACGCTCTGTAGTAGCGAAAAGTAACAAGTGCTTGAAAGATTCGTCAGTCCTGTTAGGTCCTGGGCAGCTCAGTGGTTAGAGCAGTCGCCTGCGTAAGGTCATGGAATCGTATCCCATCTCAGGGTGCCAGCAACCAAGTGGATTTTTAAGGAGTTTTCATTAAGAAGATTTAATAAAAGAAATTGTTATTTTTCTAAGAACTTTCAATTTGAGCCTCGTTTATATTAATCCTGACGTTTATTTATTATCATTTAATACATATGTATATTTTCCTCTTACTTACTTACTTGCAATTAATAGTAATATTTCATCGATAAGATCGTCGTGCAACAATTGTTACAGATACAAACTCACAGTCATTAGGTGATTACATAGCACTATTTCGACATAGATTTCTTTATGATATTTACTGATAATCAAATTTTAATGACTGTAATGGATAATTAAGAGAAAAGAAGTAGATACGTGCGTCTGAAAAATAATTATGATGATAGTATACTGTATTTCCGTCCGATTATAATGTGAATGTCTTCAAATCAAGAGTGAATAGGCTGTTACTAGGTTAATGCGCTAAACCACCCAAGGCTACATCACAACTTACCATCAGGTGGGATCGTAGTCAAGCGTTAACCTATAAAGTATATATTAAAAAAAAATAGTTTAGTGAAGGGAACAAAGTCCAAAATTTGTAACCGTAGAAGCTCTGTGATGTAATTGCATCTATGTAACTATGTTTCTGCTATATCATAAAAAGGTACAAGATCGAACTTTCAGAATAGGTGAGGTTATATATTTCTAAATAGCATCATAAATATCGATGTACAGTTTACCTTTAAGGTCCACATTCAGTAATTTGGTATTCGAAATAATACGTTTTTATTCGAAATAGTATAATTTCTGTTCACGCCGCCCAAATATTTCATTTAGAAAAAAAATATATTTGACTACAGAAAATCGAACCACACATTCAAAACTGACCTGTAAAACGTCCGAATTTAAATAAATATTCCTAAAGGTCAGTTGGCCACAAGACTGTCCAGAAGGAGCGAATTGAGATGCGACACATTTTATATTCATATTCATGCGGCAAATGTTTTATTTATATGTAACACTATTCCTTACCAAAGAGCAATGATAAAACATGTCTAAAAAACACGTAGTTCTTGACAGAGTCCTTATATTTTTTCTGTAATTGTAATGATTCTTCGAATAGTCAATATTTTTTGTTCATTCAATATTCTGTATCATGCTTACATATTATGTGAGTAAATCAGTTAGAAAATTAACTTTTCTGTGCTGTCTGTTTTCTGTGCATGTACTGTGGGTCTGAGTCACAGAACAAAGGTCTGAGTGTTTTGTGTTACCTCCATTATTTCCAATTGTAATATGATGTCGTTTAGAACTCTCTAAATAGTAATTTATATCTACATATTTTTTTATTACTAAAGTATTCTTGAACTCATATAAATAACAACACTAAAATTGGGTAAATGAAACAATAACGTATAAAAGTCAAACAAAATTAATCATTTTGTGAAACCACAGATATAATTTAATAATATTATTTACATTTAACACTAGTTAGAACTAGCGTAGTATTAAATAACTAAATAAAGTAATTTTAACAAATTATTTACAACAAAAAAACAATGAAAAAATGGAAGAAATACATGACTAAATATTTAATTTAAAAATATATAAAATACTGGTACAAGGAATATAATATAAGAGACAAATAACGACATTTTCACTATGAATTAATCTTGTTGAACCAAAATTATCCATAGATTTCATTTGTAATATCTTTACGTTTAAAATTACAAAAAGTTTCGTGATTAATATAAATATTTGTCATTTATTTACTCTTTATTATTGAGAATGTATGATACTTTAATTTTAAATTATAATCAATTTTAATTAACCGTTATATAGCATACTTTGGACGCTTTCATTTCATTTTTAGATTTAATTTACAATTTTAATATTTTAGGTTTGATGTTGTTGTAAATATAATAAGGGGTCATTAAAATAATATAATCGAACATGGTACATAAACAGCACATCAGGTTCTGCAATCATTTTGAACTTTAATCTCAATGAAATAAGAGATAAAATCAATTGGAAAAAGACAGTTAAAAAAAATATTTAAAAACATGAAAAGAGTCGAATGATTCACCATCACTCCTTTTAATGTTAATCACTTTCCTTCCAAAGGTTTTAAATCCCTTAACACATGAACATTTTAATTTTGAAACCTTTGAAACTTCATAGGTACTTATCAATTGAAAACTTTATAATACTAAATAACTACGAATAAGCTATTCGCTATATTTTCTTAAATAAGCATTAGAAATTACATTGGTTACTGCATCGCATTTTTCTTTCATAAAATCATCTTATCTTATTTTCGTTATATTTAAGAACTATTATCGAAAAGTATTTTACAAATGGCTGAAGTTTAAGTGATTTATTTTCCTACAAAATAATCATAAATATATCTTTTTAATAAATAAATTTAAAACACTAATATTTACAAAGAGGAACATTATTATTTCACCAACTGGATGTTGATTATTGCAATGCAAATGATAAATTACTTTAGCGAAAATTCAGTGCTAATAATTATTTTCTTATTATTATACAAATAAATGAAAAGTGTTCAAATATATACTAAGATGATATGACACTATCATTCGAAAAGTATGTCATGTACACAGATTTAATTTAATATAATAAAGGGGGTACAACAATTATTTAAATAGGGAGACCACAATTTAAATATATTCTCAGACTTTTATTTAAAACTTAGTGCAATTAATACGCATTACATTAGACTATGTTTAACTGTAACTTTCTTCTAGTGTATGAGCGAATAGGTGATTTTGAAAAGCAGTATAATCTCAACTTATTTTTCATCTATATGGCAACACTATTTAGTGAGTAATTGTAGTTCTAAAATACATATTATTAAGGTACAGTTTAGAGATATAAGTTCGAACTTTAATGTGTTCTATTTTAATTTTTAAACTTGTATTTTACACTAACAATATATATATTTAAATGTAAGATTTAATTGACAATAAAATCTCCTTCACGATTTTTTTATGAAATTAAATAAATTATGCTTTAATTTCTAATTGAAAATCACTGGCAAAAAAACTTAGTATTTCATTTAATTCCAAACTAACCTTTATCAAAACTTACAATGCGAAACGTTAATTGCAAATAATATCTCGTTCGGTCACCTACTGAAATTTTTAAGTATATTAAGTTTAAAGTTAATAGTAATTTTGAATTATATAAGTAGTACAATTATTTTGAGTACAAAACTCTAGAGGATAAACCACTCATACACAATAAAGTACTTCTCGAACTCTTTTTGGTTTCCATCGTTGGGAAAATTTGAAATCTTTTACGTGACACTGATTTCCTCTTCTTCGTCACTTTCGGTAGCTGTGGTGTGGTTGTACAATCCTTGTGCCATAAGCTGTAGAGCGAGCGGGTTCCTCTGCCCGGACGCCTTCTTGATCTTGGCGCGTTTGTTCTGGAACCAGATCTTGATCTGCGCCTCAGCGAGGCCCAGCTCCGCGGCCAGCGCTTGTCGGCGTCGCTCTGTCAGATACCGGTTCTCGGCGAACTCATGCTATGGACAAATTTGAACTTTAAATGCTAGTAATTTATTATTATTTTAGGATGATATTGGCCAGTTTATAATAATTTCACTTTTAACATGAAGTTAAATCATTTTGACTAAACTTATTTAATGAACCTAGATTTATTATAACGAAATCCAAAAATATTCAAAAATCGCTAAGGGCCAACATGAACTCTTTTAGTGGTTTTAGATTTACTGTAAAATATTCAATCGAATTGATTTTATAAATATATTCCTTACCTTTAGCCTGTTGAGTTGTGCAGCGCTAAACGCAGTTCTAGGTCTCTTCTCTTCTGGATTCATTTTCTTCTTCATCCTTCTACTTCTTGGACCTGAGAACAAGGGAAACAAACTATAATAACTACTTGTAGGTTAAAATCTGAACTAAAATACACGAACAGTACGAATAAATAAAAATTAAGTACTATTAATTGCACAAGTGCAGTTTACACAATAAGCCTTTGAGTGCGGCGCTGTGTTATTTGAATTAATGAATTTATTTCATGATGGCACAAGTTACTGACCTATAGTCTGAGACTTAATTAATTTATTGTTAATTGAATCATGGCACGCCTGATTCTGTGTAAATGTCATTGTTAATAAAACCCTGTTTTTTAATGATTAAATAAGAAAGCAATGACAATTCAATTCTTTTATCCGAAAATACTTTTTATAATGAATACAGATGCGGAATTAAAAAGTGGCAATTTCAAAGTTTATTATTGAGAATAATTACTTAACCTACCTACCTACTTACTTACATAGCTCACTGAAGTAAATTTATCAGTATTGCAGTATCTATACTAATATTATAAAGTGGTAAACTTTCTAACTTTTTTGTTTGTATAGAGAGGGTAATTTTCAGAAATAATGATCATACGAGGGCGATTTAGGCTATAATTTAAGCGGCAAAGTTGCGGGAAAAAGTTAGTATTAGTGAAACGGGAAATTCCTGACAATTCATTTTCGCTCTCCATAGAACTTTCCTGGGACTTCAAAGAATGTAAAAAAATCCAAATTGCTCTAGAATTTTGCATTTTAAAAATATTATATCCGCTTTTATTAAATACATTAAATTACTTAAAGAAATATGTTCTCACTAATGGCCCTATTATTCTTCTTATGTTAGCGTAATTATGGAGAGTCAATTACGCTTTATGAAACAGTTCTTCTTCAGTCTAATAGATTACAAAATAACAAACTTTCTGTCAACATTTATTTATGAAGAAGACATTTTACTAATAAAAGTAAACCTCTTTTAGTACTATAACAAAATGCTATTAATTGAGAAGCCATTACAATTATAATGTTACATTTTCTACCATTTGAGTGTCGAAATTTTTGAGATATTTTTATTTGAGATAAATATAAATATAGATGCTATATTGTGAATACAAAACATTTTTTATTTACGTGTTTTGGTATTGCTTGGTAGCTTCGTATAAACCGTTGATGGCACGATCAAAGATGGTGGACTTAAAAAATTAGCCGGTGGGGTTCTAATGCCCCTATGGATAATTGGTGTAGTAGGAGGGCCCTTGTGATAATTTTCATGTGGGTGTGGGATGGTATTCTTGGCATAAATTAGAATGGCGCATGAATAGTAAACCAAATAATATTAAAAAGGAAGTCAAAATTTTTATTATTAATTTTTTTTTTATTAAAGGACTTTTTTCACGATCAATCATAACCATATCATAAATATGTTTAGCTGCTTCTGATGCAAAATTACCCAAAATTGTAAGAAATACTCCAACAACACAAGTTTTGAGTTTGAAAAAAATTGTAGATATAACATTTTTCTCCACTGGATTCTGTTACTTTGTTACAAACATCATAGTTTTGAGTTAATTAATATGAAAAGTTAGATATAAATTTCTAGAAATGGAATAAGCTGAAGTTGGAGTGGACATTTTTTCTTTCTTTGTCACTAGTTTGTCACAAGTCAGTATATATCTATCTTTATCGACTCGGAATTTTGATTTTTCATTTTATTAGTAACTCGCTGAAATATGCAATTTATTTTTACCTGGACTCTAATTAAACATTATATCGCTATTAGTACTTAACCTATAAACTTTTTGACTCTGTCTAAACATAGTCGTCGGAATGAGATGGCGCTATAGATGCGTATAGCTGTATCTTATTTCCTCAGTAGCATTTTCGTTGTATTGTTGTAAGTACCGTGGTGAGCTATTCCAAGATTATACAAATAAATAGAACCTAATAAATAAAAGCGGTCCTAGAAGTTGCGTGCATTTAGAAACAATGGACAATAAGTATTAATTTACTTTTTGCAATTAACATTAGGAAAATAATACCTAATCGAGAATTGGACATCTTGAATTAATTTATTAGTAATATGAAATAAATATCTATACTATACTACCTACTTTAAATAGATAAAACATGAACCTTTAGTAACCATGTTTTAGCAATTAAGTAGCAAATAAAAATACGCGTCATAATTATCATCTAATTAACTATAGTGTAGCGTTAATTAACATCTAGTTAACATTTCAACAGCCAACTATTGTTCCTATTATATACTAACAAGTTCCATTTAAATCAAGACAATCTGTTTTAAAAGATCTAGGCAGGCGTGTGGACGCCCTTACTATAAATCTAGACTCAGAATAAATCTATTCTATCAGCAGCGGAAAATAGGTTGTAAACACTTTTCTTGGTTTCTGTACTTTTCCGCAAACAATTTAACACCTTAACATCGCGGTCAAAAGATTCAAATTTAAATACAACTCCAACTTGATAAACGACTTTAAATAAATGAGGTATAGAAGAAAAATATACTCAAACCATTCTGAAATTTATATCATTCTAAATAAGTGAAGGAATCGCGTAAAGGATGCGGTGCTAAATTGGTGCCGCATCGCATGCAATGAATATTGAATTTTATCGCTTTTAGAATAGAACAGGAAATGGTTTAAACACAAATCTTTTTGGAGTTTGAAAAATGTCGAGCGAATTACATCGTGCGGTTGATACGAAATACGTTTTTAAAACAATCACTTTAAGGTCGAGAACGGCTCAGGTCCACATTCATATTACAAGGCAGTTTATCACCCGATAAAATGGCCAGTAACTTTTTTATTCGTGTTTTTAATTAAACAACTGGCCAGAACGTTTGCCAGGAGCTGTAACGAGGCGCAATGTTTTCGGTGGCGAAAAATATTGCGTTCGGGGCGCACAAGCTGGATTCTTTTAAAGTTCCAAATTCAAATTTTTGAATAGACGCGCCATTTGGTAGCAACTTCTTTTCTTTTTTAAAGGAAAATTATAGCGGCGGTACATATAATTTTAATATACGCTACTGTGTCAATGGTGCCGGCAGTGCCAACATATATTTTTCAAGGTTTTAATAACTACATTCAGTTAAGAAACACGGTAACCTATTGTTTTTTAACTCTCATTAGTAATAAAGATGGGCGTTTATAATTGCCGGTTGTGATTAAAACAACGCTACGAAATGACATTTAAAAAGACAATAGTTATTTCTAGAGTTCGGTATTGTTATCTTATTACGCAGTCAAATTATATAGCATAGTTTCAATATAATCTGCACTAATGTTACGAAAAGGAAAGATTTGTTTGTTTGTTTACATTAAATAGTTTCCGAAACTACTGGATTGATTTTTAAAAATCTTTCACTTAAGGAAAGAACCAGGTAAACATAGAAGACCTTCTCAGGTTAGCAACAGTAAGAAAGAGAATGTCCTATATTGAATTGTAAAAGTAACATAAAGTTACTTTATTACGTTGGTAAACAATGTCCACATGGTAATTTTGACAAATCGTAACAACGTTTAAATAATTTCTGAACGAAGTACACAATGCATTCGTTTTAACCACAAAACCACAGGATTCTTGTTATAATAAAGTATGTCCATGACAAACATATTTTGCAACTTGTCATTTTATATAGATTCAGGGTCTAAACTCTTAAATCAATTCTCGATATGTCGCTAACTTCATCATGTCGATCCACTCATTTTCTGTAAGAATACGTAAATTAGAGCAGGGCAGTCGACGTCGAACTGTGCAAGCTCTGGTTTAAAGTTAAGTAAAGGTAACTCAAACGGAAGATCTGTCGAGCGTCACAACGGCAATATGTATTTAGTACGATCGGACAGATCATCGTTTAAGTGTGCAAGGTTGAATGCCATAATATATTCGTCAGTTCTGAGGTCAACATTGTAGTAACCCTTGCTTTAATAACCTGCAAGGTTTCGCTCCACGAAAAGACAAACTTACAATCAATCCAACATCGTTTCTAATCGACAGATAAGGATTATGTTTATCATTAATTATTTACGTACGCTATTATATAGAAAAAATAAACAAATTTAACTTCGCTGTTGGAGAACTGCTGCTATTTGTACTAAGTAGTTTTGATTTCCTTACGAGTACAAAAATTACAAAAATGCGCGATAAATTCACGTATCCTTTTATAATATTAACTTAATAAATAAAAGTTGATTAGGTATTTGATTGATTTTATTTAACCTGATACCTCCATGCGTTTAAAAATAAAAATCTAGTCCACAATAAAATCACGACTCTATTAGTACAAAACAAAAATTTTTATTACAAAAATAGTTTCCGTCGTGTTATAGGAGCATTAAACTAGTATCCACAAAACATAATCTTTATTAATAGACCAATTAAATTCAACGACTTAATATTATAGAGTTCCATGAACTTCTTATAATGTAAGAAAAAATCAAAATAACTGTGATAGAATTTAAATAAACATGAAATAGATATCAGATTTCTGTGTTAATTAAAAAAGTTTTCATATGTAATCCGGTTTTTACTATAATTGCTAGTCAACTCTCCAACTTATCCTCGATGCATTTTTTTCCAAATTCGAAGCTGGCATTTTTTAGAGTAATTTTCATGACATACAATTTTCGGTGCCAATTTTACCTTTTATAATGCTAGTAATTTGCTGTTAATGCGTCGAGTTGGCGTCAAATATGTATTTTAGTTGTTTTTATTTAGTATACCATTAACTACTTGAATAAACTTATCTCTTCCAATTTTTTTTTTAATAAAATTGTTCTTATGTCCAAAAACATTCGGATGCTATAACCTTACCACTAAACAAGATAGAATATAGTATTCTGAAATTGAAGAAGGACATTATAATAATAGCATGTAACATAAAATGTTATGTACTGCGTATTTCCAAAAAAAAAAAGGAATTGAATATTTAAATTCTTTTACGTCGCATCTTATTCATCCGTTCGAACGACAACAAGCATGTCGTCGACCAGTGTTCTGTTTTTGGAATTTCTAAACACTGCGCTCTGAA